GAAGAGTATGGAGAAGGAAAGGAACTGCTCATGATCCAAAGCATACCACCTCATCAGTTAAGCATGGTGATGGTAGCGTCATGGCGTGGGCATGTATGGCTGCAAATGGAATAGATTTTCTTGTATTTATTGATGATGTGACTGCTGACAAAAGCAGCAGGATGAATTCTGAAGTTTTTTGGGTAATATTATCTGCTTATATTCAGCCAAATGCTTCAGAACTATTTGGACGGCGCTTCACAGTGCAAATCGACAATGACCCGTTGCATATTGCAAAAGCATGCAAAGAGTTTTTTAAGGGAAAGAAGTGGAATGTTATGCAATGGCCAAGTCAATCACCTGACCTGAATACGATGGAGCATGCATTTCACTTGATGAAGACAAAACTGAAGGGAAAATGCCCCAAGAACAAGCAGGAACTGAAGACAGTTGCAGTAGAGGCCTGGCAGAGCCTAACCAGGGATGAAACCCATCGTCTGGTGATGTCTATGTGTTCCAGACTTCAGGCTGTAATTGACTGCAAAGGATTTGCAACCATGTATTAAAAAGTGAAAGTTTGATTTATGATTGTTAATCTGTCCCATTACTTTTGGTCCCTTAAAAAGTGGGAGGCATATATACAAACTGTTGTAATTCCTACACCGTTCACCTGATTTGGATGTGAATACCCTCAAATTAAAGCTGAAAGTCTGCAGTTAAAGCATCTTGTTTGTTTCATTTCAAACCTATTGTGTTGGTGTATAGAGCCAAATAAATTTGAAGAGGTTCTATTTCAACTGTCAAAAGTAAAGACAAATAAGTCAATGGGACCTGATAGAATACACACAAAACTATTAAAAGAGCTTAGTGGTGTACTAGCAAAACCATTCACAGATTTATTTAACCAATCATTATTAACAGGAGTAGTCCCAGAAGATTGGAAGTTAGCGAATGTTGTGCCCATTCACAAGAAAGGTAATAGGGAGGAGTCGGGCAACTATAAGCCAGTAAGCCTTACTTCAGTAGTTGGGAAAGTGATGGAAACCATGTTAAAGGATAGGATTGTTGAACATCTAAAAACACATATATTTCAAGATCAGAGACAACATGGGTTTATTTCAGGGAGATCATGCCAAACTAATCTTATTGATTTTTTGATTGGGTGTGACAAATTCCTCTGTAAAACTAATATTGCTGGTTCATCTAGTTTGCCTCCCCTTCATGGAATTGCCAGTCCATATACCCCTATTTGTCTTTTTGACTTTTTACCGAATGAACTTACCGAATGGACGGCCACCCAGAAGAGAAGTGTGCTGCTGGTTAACCTCTTGATCCCAATTAGAACGTTGTGGTTAACCGCAGACACCTCTTAATTATCACTGAATGCAGGGTGGTCGTCGTTCGTATGCCGACCATGAGGAGGCAGCCATTTCAAACCATGCGAAAGACCAGCGGTGTTCGGCGCAGATTGTATGGAACTAAAAACGGACACTTTTTCTGCCGAACACCGCTGAAACTACAGACCACCCTTCTCAATCGTCAAGGCATGTGAACACCGGCCCGTTCGGGAGTTTGGATTATACGAATGGACTTAACCCAGATAGCCTTCTCATAGAGTAAAACGCATACCAAAAGACTGTAAAAGACTTTGACTCCATGGCGACTGAATTGTGCGTATGGGATCTGAGCGCTATTCGCTAAGAATATGCACTCAGATCCAAGCTATCTGGGGATACATTGCACGAATGTAATATGTTCGGTAGTTGCATAATTATTTATTTTCATGTGTTTTTTATGCTTCAGTTAAAATGGTGATTTGCCTCTGTCCTAGAAACATAGAAACATAGAAACATAGAATGTGACGGCAGATAAGAACCATTCGGCCCATCTAGCCTGCCCAATTTTCTAAATACTTTCATTACTCCCTAGTCTTATCTTATAGTTAGGATAGCCTTATGCCTATCCCACGCATGCTTAAACTCCTTTACTGTGTTAACCTCTACCACTTCAGCTGGAAGGCTATTCCATGCATCCACTACACTCTCAGTAAAGTAATACTTCCTGATATTATTTTTAAACCTTTGTCCCTCTAATTTAAGACTATGTCCTCTTGAATTACTTATCAATTCTCTCCAGGGCAGAGGGGAGGAAACCAGGATGCATTGTGGGAATATTCTGTGCCTGTATGTCCTAACATGCTATATGTCTGTCTGTAACTACAGTCTCCCATTTGGTCCCATAGGGGAGTGTCCGCCAAGTGGGAGACCTGCATAAATAAGGGCGGGTAGCCCACAGTAAACCGAGTTCTTGTTTTACCCTCAATGCGGAGCTTGGTCTCGTTATTGGGGGGATTTACTACACACGGTTCGCGACTGATTGCTGGAACAGTAAGCCGCTTGGAGAATACATTGGTTCGGCTGTTAGCCGCGATTCGTGGATTTATTGTTCAGGAGTTTGGAGCACCCGTACGGGACGCGTTCGGTAGATTGGCGCATTCCTCTGGTTGCAGTTCGTATGGTGGAAATATACACGAATTGAGCCTGCATTATAGAGAATGGGGATGCTTAACTAAACGGCGATTTCACTCCTTTGTGCCAGGGGTGTCTTAACATTGGGTAACTAAAATTATAGATCAGGGTGGTGCAGTAGACATTACTTACCTAGATTTCAGTAAGGCTTTTGACACTGTTGCACATTGAAGGCTTATCAATAAACTGCAATCTTTAAGTCTGGGTTCCAATATTGGTGAATGGGTAAGACAGTGGCTGAGTGATAGGCAACAGAGGGTTGTAGTCAATGGAATAAATTCGAAGCTTGGACTTGTCACCAGTGGGGTACCTCAGGGACCTGTACATGGACCTAATCTCTTTAATATTTTAATTAGTGATTTTGCAGAAGGTCTTGATGGTAAGGTATGTCTTTTTGCTGATGATACTAAGATATGTAACAGGGTTGATGTTCCAGGAGGGAAAAGCCAAATGGCAAATGATTAAGGTAAACTAGAAAAATGGTCAGAATTGTGGCAACTAACATTTAATGTGGATAAGTGGAAAATAATGCATCCTGGACGTAAAAACCCAAGGGCAGAGTACAGAATATTTGATAGAGTCTTAACCTCAACATCTGAGGAAAGGGATTTAGGGGTGATTATTTCTGATGACTTAAAGGTAGGCAGACAATGTAATAGAGCAACAGGACATGCTAGCAGAATGCTTGGTTGTATAGGGAGACGTATTAGCAGTAGAAAGAGGGAAGTGCTCATGCCATTGTACAGAACACTGGTGAGACCTCACTTGGAGTATTGTACACAGTATTGGAGACCGTATCTTCAGAAGGATAATGATACCTTAGAGAGAGTTCATAGAAGGGCTACTAAACTGGTTCATGGATTGCGTGATAAAACTTACCAGGAAAGTTTAAAGGATCTTAACATGTATAGCTTGGAGGAAAGACGAGACGGGGGATATGATAGAAACATTTAAATATATAAAAGGAATCAACACTGTAAAGGAGGAGACTATATTTAAAAGATGAAAAACTACCACAACAAGAGGACATAGTCTTAAATTAAAGGGACAAAGGTTTAAAAATAATATCAGGAAGTATTACTTTACTGAGAGGGTAGTGGATGCATGGAATAGCCTTCCAGCTGAAGTGGTAGAGGTTAACACAGTAAAGGAGTTTAAGCATGCGTGGGATAAGGCTATCCTAACTATAAGATAAGGCCAAGGACTAATGAAAGTATTTAGAAAATTTGGCAGACTAGATGGGCCGAATGGTTCTTATCTGCCGTCACATTCTATGTTTCTATGTTTCTATGTAATTGTGTCTATGTCCCAATATTTATGGACCTGACTGTATATGTAAAAATGCCATTCCCTCCCCCCCCCCACCACAAACATTGACATATATTAGTGAAAAAATGGTGACAAGTTAAGGCACAATATACACCATATAAGATACCCTGGGGTGTCTGCTTTATCAAGTGAAAGCCCTTTGTGGGGTTATTTGAACAGTCACACTGCAATAATACCCTAAAATGGGACAAAATCCATCTACAAAAATTCTTACTATAGAAACTGAAATAGCCTTGACTATTATTTGGCAATGTAGCTTTACAGAAAAGTGCCAAAGACATACAATTGGGGTATCGATATAATTAGCAGATGTAGCTAAACACTATATGGGGTTCTGTGCAGGAATAGCACACACCAGCTTTACGAAATACACATTACAAAAACATTGTTATATGTGTATATGCCAAAATAAAGAAAAAACATAATTTTACTCCAATATTTAGCAGAGATTAGCAATGAAATGGCTACGTAAAAAAGTTTCAAACTAACCTTATGTAAATAGCCTCTGATGTCTACTTTATATAAAAATATACTTTTGTGTGACAATGTTGTTTTCTGTGATGGCTACTAAACTTACAAGACAAACATCCCAAATTCTAAAATTGTTGCAAATTGAAATGTTATTTTAGTCCTTGTATTTTGTGACCTGTAGCTTTCAAAATAAGCTGAAATTCTATACATATGATGTACTTTATAAATCAAGACACATAAATGAATTTATTTTGAATTACTTTTTTTAAGCTGGACATATTATGCACACGCTATTATTGCCAAAATTCTGAAGAAATTTCTTTTTTTTGTTTGTTTTTTTATTTTTTTGTCATTTTTATATAATTAATAAGAATGTATCTATGTACATGTGACATCAAATTAAAGCCCTGTTTGCCCTCTAAAAAAAACGATGTATAATATGTGTTGGTGGAATAAATGACAGAGATGTAAATTGCGTTTGAATACAAACAGCTAAGAAAATGGCCTTTGTCCTTAAGCGTAAGACAAGCTTCTGAAGCTGTGTCCTTAAGGGGTTAATAGTGTAAAGAGTGATCTGTACACAATATGGGTTGCCTAATTAACACTTTTTCTAGGGCTTCTATGCTTTTTAACATTCAAACATATATATTAAACCAAACTTGGCTTAATATAAATGCAGCAGGTGGTCCTGACTTGGCAGAGGGGAGAGACCTGCAGGTAAAAAGATTAAAATATAGTGTCTCCAGTAACAGTACCTGCACGGGTAGTCACTGCTACTCCAACATGTTTTACTCATTGCTGCTCACTGAGTGACTGGCATCCAGAAAGAAAGCAATCCATAAACGTCACAGGCTAGTGGGTTTAGTGTGTATTTAATATAGGATCATTATAGTATTTTGGACATTTATTTGAATTGGAAGGACCAATTTCAAATTGGAGAACTGAGGTCAGACAAACCCTGTGAATTATTTTAAGCAGAATATCAAAAAATGAGGCTGCTAGGAGGAATGTATTCTTTGTTACCGTGGTATATATATATATCTATGCTGCCTCCCTTGGAAAACGCATTAACTCCTTTGGCTTCCAATATCGTTTCTATGAGGATGACATGCAAATCTACCTGTTCTCTCCTGTTCTCTCTCCATCCCTCTTGACTAGTGTCACTGACTGCCTCTCTGCTATTTCTTACTGTATGGCTGCCCACTTCCTTAACCCCTTAAGGACCAAACTTCTGGAAAAAAGGGAATCATGACGTCACACATGTCATGTGTCCTTAAGGGGTTAAACTCAACTTGACCAAAACTGAAATACTAGTCTTTCCTCCCTCAAGTGTTGCTACTCCTGTGTCTGTCTCCCTCCAAGTCAACAGTGCTAACATCAGTTCCACCACGCAGGCTTGCTGCATAGGTGTTCTCTTTGACTCCGACCTCTTCTTCACGCCTCATGTTCAGTCTATCGCCAATTCATGTTGTTTCCATCTCAAAAACATTGCACGCATCCAACCCAACGCCAGATGCGACTAAGGTGCTGGTCCATTCCATTGTCCTTTCTTGCCTTGACTACTGTAATCCACTTCTCAGTGGTCTTACGTGCTCCCAACTTGCACTGTTACAGTCCATAATGAATGTGGCAACGAGGCTCATCTTCCTGTCCGCCCGCACCTCCCATGCCTCACCTTTCTGTCAGTCCCTACATTGGCTTCCTGTAAGATATAGGGCTCAATTTAAAATTCTGGTTCTTGCTTTCAAATCTCTAGATAATGCTGCTCCCACCTATCTATCCCTGCTAATACACAAGTATGTCCCGTCTAGGCCCTTATGCTCTGCTGAAGACTTACGTCTATCTTCTGTCTGTACTCCCACCTCTGATGCTCGCCTTCAGTACTTCTCCAGGGCTGCACCATTCCTGTGGAACTCACTTCACTTTTCCGTTAGATGCTCACCCAGTCTCCACTCCTTCAAAAAATCATTAAAAACCCACTTCTTCATAAAAGTGTATCAATTAAACTGTTAATAGCTCCCGACTGATTCCTCTCTTGCAACTGTTATTAGTCTAATACTATCCTTACCTTTTGTGTCACTTTACCCCACTCCTTCTAGCATGTAAGCTCATTGAGCAGGGCCCTCAACCCCTCTGTTCCTGTGTGTCTGGTTACAACTACATGTCTGTTCGTCCACCAAATTAATAATAGTAATTTAAATGTAAATGTGGTAAATGTGGTAAATGTAATGTACTGTTTGAATTGTTTAAATACATTTTTATGTTATTTAAAGTAAATAAATATTTGCAGTTTGATATAGTTTTATCTTAATTTTCCCTTTTTCTCTTCAAAATAAATTGAATTATTGCTTCTTTAAACTGCTCATTTCTCAGACTGTATATAATGGGGTTTAATAAAGGGGCTGCTATAGTATAAAGCATAGAAATCAGTTTTTGCAAACCCAAATATTCTTCTTTTGGTGGGACCACATAATTAAATACTATTGTCCCGTAATATAGACATACGATGGTCAGGTGGGAGCTGCAGGTAGAGAAGGCTTTCTGTTTCCCGGTGGTGGTTGAGATCCGGATAATTACAAGAAAGATATTGATATATGTCACAGTTATAAAAAGTATTGGAACAAATGTAACTGGAACAGACATAACAATGATTACTATTTCATTAGCTAATGAACCAGAACAAGAAACTCTGAGAACTGGAATCAGGTCACAGAAAAAATGATTAACAACTTTTAACCCACAAAATGTAATTTGGTTTAAAATAATAATATGTGGTAATGCAGCTAGTATTCCAAATCCCCAAGATGAAGCTACAAGAGAACCACAAAGTTTCAGGTCCATGACAGAGGAATATCTCAGTGGGTTACAGATGGCCAAATATCGATCGTAGGACATTACAGTAAGAAGTAGGCACTCAGTAATGGTTGATTGGGAAAAAAAGTAAATTTGAGTGAAACAGCCAGCAAAGGATATGGTACTTCCTTCTTTTAATATAACATAAAGCATTTCAGGAACAATGTTTGTGATGATGATCATGTCATTGAAAGACAGATGGCTGAGGAAGAAATACATAGGAGAGACAATGTATCTACACATAGATACTATCGAGATAACCATTATATTTGCAGATAATGTCACAAGATAAATTATCATGAAAAGAATAAAGAGTAAAATTTTAATATTTTGGATGTTTACAAATCCGATTATCAAGAACTCCTCTATATTTGACTTGTTTGTAAAATTCTCCTACATTCACATAAACAAAATATCAGTGAAATGCAGGTAGCACAAATATAGACAGATAATTTCAATAAATCAGATGTGGATAATAGTCTATTAATTACATTCATAACTGTAAAGGAACACTGTAGGGTCAGGAGAACATACATATATTCTTGACCCTATATTGTTAAAAACACTATCTAGCCCCCCTGGCCCCCCTCTTTCCCCTAAACATAATAAAATCTTACCTTTATTCCAGTCTGCTGGTGCTGGCTCTACCCCCACCCCGTTCCATTGGCTGATATAATCAGAAATGATGATCTCACCAATCATAATGCTTTCCTGTAGAAAAGCATTGGATTTGCAGAGATTGTCCAATTCTGATGATCTCAGACAAGGAGGGGGGATGGGGCAGAGCCAAACACCACCCTGGCCACTCGGCATCTCCTCATTAATGCATCTCTGTGAGGAAAGAGTATCTCCATACAGAGGGTGGAAACACTGAATGTCAGTCACACTGTGCAGCACTGCCCCAGGAAGCACCTCTAGCAGCCATCTGAGGACTGGCCACTGGATGTATAATGTAAACACTGCATTTTCTCTAAAAACAAATACAGTGTTTACTGCAAAAAGCCTTCAGTGACTGACTATACACACCAGAACAAATAAAATAAGCGTTATACTTTGCATTAAGTTGTAGTAGTTCTGGTGACTATAGTGCCCCTGTAATCACTGAGAGAATGGCTCAATGATCACACTACTATCAAACTCACATACAAATAGTTACCAATTGATCATACTACTTCAATTATTTAGCTTGCTTTTAAATTAGGTATTTAACTTTAGGACAACCATTAAATGGAAACTCTTTGCACCATAACCATGTTATTTCACAAAGACATTCTTCCTGTTGCCTTTCTTTGTCAAAATGTTTGATTTTGGATATTTTCTTTGTGTAGGACCACCTCTCTGTGCTGTCACTCAGTCAACTGGATTACTATTTCCCTGTATGGTCATGTCAGTTTTGTGCAACCTTTGTGTCTTGTGTCTGCACACACAGCATGCCAACCCCAGACACTTTGTACAGGCTGACAGGGTTGAGTGAGTTACACAACGTCTTTCTAACTCTCCAATAAAGAAAAGGCATGATTTGGCTCTGTTTTTTTACCTCTGCCCTTCCTAGGGCAAAACACACAAGCGATTCTGCTGATAATGTAGGTTCGATCAGGCAGAAGATTTACTGTAGCTCAAATTGCTGAAAAACTTAATTCTGGCCATGATAGCCATAATAGAAAGGTGTCAGAACACAGTGCATAACAGTTGTATTTATCTCATCTTTATATTGATCAATTATCTACAATATGCACATTCCAAAACACATAGAAAATGTTAAGAAATCTACATATGTCTATGAATATTTGGTTTTTTTGTCCACTATTAAGTAAGAAAGACACAGATTATAGAATGCTGTTTCTACCCAGACTTGTTTATGTTATCCTGGTGCTCTCAGAGATTCTCAATCCACCCATATGACTTCATTTGCAATGAATATAGTGCTTTGTATAAGCTGATACTTTATTATAAATGTGTATGTACTATAATTCATTAATCATGGAATAAATGAGAAAGAGATATTACCATGTCTTTGATGCTCCCGATATGTTCTCCCATTGGTGAAGTTTCTTCAAAAACGCTATATATTCACTTTTATGTACAAGGTCATTGAAATTGTCAAATGACATTCCCACCATACAGACTGACAAGGAGATGTGTCCAGATCAGTAACAGTCTGCCTGTTATATATCTACAGCAGAACATGTGGATCCCCAGGAGGTCTCCAAGCTGTAACAGAAGACTATCAAATAATTATCTTCATGGGAATTTACAAGAATTGTTTTCACAAATGCATCAGGGATCTTCCCTAGAGCAGGAATTACTGTGAATTGAAAAGGGGATTTCGTATTAAAGTCCAAAACAACTAAAAGATTCTTAAAATTAACTATTTTTCTTTCTCTTCTACTTTTCTACTTCAGCTGTTATGGGCTAAATTGCAAAAATCTATTATTTTTTTTAACAGATCCATGTTAAATGTAATGTAATGTCTGTTTTTAATATATCTTTGAAAGGATTTAACATCTAGCTTAAATGCATGTATTATTATTATTATTATTATGTTTATATAACGCCAACAAATTCACTAACGCTTTAAATTGGGTGGACTAACAAACATGTAATTGTAACCAGACAAGTTTGACACACAGAAACAGAGTGCTTGAGGGCCCTGCTCAGTGAGTTTACATGTTAGATGGAGTGGGGTAAAGTGACACAAAAGGTAAGGGAAGTTTTAGGGAAGTAGATTGGTAGAATAGTATTCAATGCAGACTTAGGTTGGGGTTTTTT